TTTGGTAAATTCTGCATTTTAATGAGATTCTACATTTTAAGATGCACATCTAGCATATTAGTTGTAAAGTTCATGGTTTGATGGCTTCTTTACAATTCTAATGTTCAATGTAATTGAATTATGAAATTTGCCCTAAATTTAATCTCAGCTTACAATATTTTGTGTTTTATTCCCAGCTTGCGATGCTAGGAAAAAATCAAGGAGTACATCATAGTTGTAGAGAAAATGGACATTATTTTGTAGTCTGTCCAGTGAAACGTCGTTGCCCATGGTACGACCATGCATTCGTCAAGTCTTTTAATGTGAAGAAAGAGAGCAAGAACAAAGGTAGATTATTCAATACTTGTACTACAAAATGTTGATATTAGAAGTGGGTCGAAGATGGTGAGACGAGCGGTGACTCAAGTGCAATTAGCAGGACTTCGAAGAATCATGTGACAAAAGAAGGAGTTGAAGAACTATTTTTCACGTTTCAATCTTGATGCTGATAATCTGATCAAAAGGATGTGAAGATTTCTTTCAACATGACAATACACAAAGGAAGAGCAAATGCGGACGAAGATAAGAAAGGAAATGGGCATGAAGGAGTTGTAGTAGTTAAATGTAACGACCTTATCTTACTTATGCATTTGATGGATGTATAGTTTCATTGGAATGTAGTAGTTAAGTAATTTCGTTTTGTAATAGTAGTTTCTGTATGAAAACTTTATTTCCTCTGTGTATATGGTAGTGCTATTTATTTTTATATGTATGTATTATCATGGCTATACACGAGTATAATTTCTTGTAATTTGTAGGAGGTTTAGTTCATTTCCCTTACATTGTCTAAATAGGAAACTCAAGGTCATCATGTTGATGACATGGGATATTCTATTTTATGGCATTCAAAATTTAAGCTAAAAATTGTCTTCTGATATATTGAGAATCTTTAATCTGGAGCTTTTAGATATTACTTGGATTTTCTGTTTAGCAAACTTATAAGAGTTTCGAGTTTATTTCCTTCATATTTTACCACCAGTTGATGTAGGATTAGAAGAGGAAGTGGACAAGTTGTGAATGGTGATAAATGGGTGGTTTACACTCACAAGAACCAACCTTTGCAAGTTTGAGCCCGTGCAACCCAAGTATTATACATTGGTTTTCTATGACACTAACATTTGATGAAGTCGTCTGGTCTTATTAATTGTCTACATATTACGAGTCTCGAAATGGATCAATGGATGATGGTTTGGTTTCAATCGGAGATTCAATATTAGATTTCATTCCCACTCAATGTACCATGTAATAGACCAGTTAGGCATTTCATTGGCGTCTCAAATTGTGTTGAGGATTCAGATTAAATCTCTTTGTTGTGTGATAAGTGTGTTTTTGCATACTTATTTAGGTCACAAACATGACTTAATAATGAGCAAAATGATTGAATTGTGACTTAATCTCGTTATATTTGTGAATTGTATGGAACACCGATGAGCATGGTGAATTTCAGAAGAAAAGAGTCGAAAAAAGACTAAAATGGAGCAAAGTGATAATTCGGGGACCAAGTTGCAAATAATTCATAGATGAGACGAGAAATGGAATGAAGATTCAAGAGTGTCAGAGGTCAATCGGATGAGGAAAGGAGTCAAGAGGTGAAATATGGTCGAAGTATTATCAAGTATCAACTTTCAGGCGAAAAAGTTATGCTCGTGATTTTTAGTCTCTACTTGAGATCCATTTTTGGCATAGTAAACATTAGAACATGAGGAAGCCTGTTTCTATCAAAAGTGTATATCTTTGAGTTTTCTTCCCAATGCACTTTGAATCACTTCAATTGGAGATCAGGAGAGAAAGTTATGACCAAAATACTGAAAGCTGTCCGACAGAAAAAAAATTTAAAACCATGCGGCCGCATGGTTATAATTCCTTGCGGTCGCACAAGGCAGTACAGGGAAAAATCTGGGTTGAAACTTCTGAACCATGCGGTAGCATGGCTTTATACCATGCGGTCGCATGGTATAAAAATGTGACGAAATCTCAGGTTTCCTTATTCGACTCAAACACGATTTAATAAGGTTTTGGACGACTTCCATGACCTAATTCCGCCTCCAATAAATACTAGACAACCCTGAAACATAAAGAGGGGGGAATATACACAATTTTAGAGGATTTGAAGAGGAAGAACAAGGCAAAAACAAGGCAGTCCACTTCAAGATTCAAGATTTCACTTTAAGAATCAATTGGGTGATGTTCTTCCTTGGATTTAATTATTGTTTTTCTTTATTTCCCATTATGCTAGGCTAGATTTTCAATTGCTAGGTGATCGATGAACCGTTGTTTGTTATTTTAATTCCATATTTCATGAATTTAATATAAAGACTCGTTTGGATAATTTGATTGGTTTATATGCATTGATTTTCTTCTGCAATTAGTGGCCAATGATTGTGTGAGTGTTGATGACTTATTTCTTACATTCGAGAGAAATGGAATATGTTCGATAAGGTGTAAATTAACATAGGGTCCGATAGGGGATAGAGATATACCCCTATGCTTTATGCAATTCTTTAATTGTTCACAAAACCACATGTATTCTTGTATATTTGCATCATCCATAGAGATATAGGCTGATGGTGTGCAAGAATAGGTCTAATATATATCGAGAGAATATATTGGATAGAATTAGGAACATTGAATTGACAAATTTCCATCGGGTCATTAATTTTATGAAATTGGGGTTTTTATAACTTCAATTGGGGATTCGTGATCCTAGTGACTTTAGTTTGATTCATTTCCCTAAATTAACTTTTAAATTTGCATAATTTCATTTACTTGAGTGTTTGAGTCGTTTAATTAGAGAAATTTCGAAATTAGGGTTTCTAATTGAGAAATTAGGGTTTTTAATTGAAATTAGGGCTTTTTGCATTTAAACCATATTATCACTCAAGTAGATTCGGTTAAGGCTAGATTATATAGAATTGAACTACTCAATCTTTGAGGGACGATATTCAGACTTTTAAAAAGCCACTTTATTACTTGTTACAAACCGTACACTTGCGGAAGTTTTAAATCGAAAGAATTATTTCGTGAACAAGTTTTTGGCACCGTTGCCGGGGATTGAGTATTCGTTTAATTTTATTCAATTTAGCACTAATTTGAACTTTTATTTTTAATTTATTTTAGTTCATTTTATTTTATTGGAAGTTAGTTTTATTACATAAGTGCATATTTTAGTGACTTAAGTCTTTAAATTGAATTCTATTGTAGAAGTGTATGCCAAGATCCGCTAAAGAAGATCTACTCCCAACCGACCCAGAGATCGAACGAAGCTTTAGAAGAAGGCAGAGAAAAAACAGAGCAACGAGAAATCAGACGGAGAACGCACAACACAATCTTATTGTACAAGCCAATGAAAGAGCGGAAGAAGACAAATGAAACATGCTCGTTGGAGAGTTCATGACCCCTCAAATCATTCAAAGCCGACTCAGCATTGTGTATCCACCGTTCGGGCAGCTAAATTTCTAGTTGAAGACAAATGTGATACAACTGTTCCAGAACGGACATCAGTTTTATGGAAGAATTGAAGAGAATCCGCACACGCACGTCTCGCGCTTCTTAAAGATGTGCCAGCACTTCAGATATCAAGGAATCTCTGACGACGCCATAAAATTAAGACTGTTTCCACATACTCTGCAGGACAAGGCGATTGAATGGCTTGATTCTCAGCTGATAGCCAGCATTACGACCTGGAATGACCTAGCTCAGAATTTCTGTACTAAGTTCTTCCCACCGGCCAAGATTGCAAAGCTAAAGCACGACATATCTATCTTCAGGCAAGGTGAATCTGAAAATTTTGATGAGGCTTGGAACAGATTCAAAAATCTACTAAGGATGTGTCCGCACCACAGGATTAACAAGGGACTTCAGGTCCAATATTTCTATACAGGGTTACTTCCAGCTTTCAAGAGCATAGTCGACTCTTCAGCTAATGGGTCATTGTCCACAAAAACAATTGATGAAGCATTGAAGTTATATGAGACAATGGCTACAATCTCAGCAATGTGGACCATGGAACGAGCAGTACCAAAGAAGACACCAGGAGTTTATGAAGTGGATGTATATTCAGCGTTATCCGCTAAGATTGATTCCTTATTTCACAAGGTAAAAAAAATTACTCAGTCAACTAACGCAGCGCAGACAAAGAAGGCAAATTGTGAGGAATGTGGAGCTGAGCATGTGACAGCAGAATGCCCAATTTTGACACAAGGAAAAGAGCAAGTAGATTTTGCTCAATGGGGACAATGCCAGCAGAATAACGTGTATGGAGAGACCTTCAACCCAAGCTGGAAAAAGCACCCCAACTTTTCTTGGAGTAACCAAAATCAGAATAGGCCACAGGGGCAATATCAACAGCAAGAGAAGAGGCCTCAATTGGAAGAAATGTTCGACAAATTCATGGAACAGACCAACCAATATATGGAGGCGAACAACCAATTCATGAAGAAGACAGAAGCCACTCTTCAGGACCAGAATGCAGCCATTAAGAATTTGAAAACTCAGATAGGATAGATGGTAGTTGCATTAACAGGTAGAGCACCAGGTAGCCTGCCAAGTAACACAGAAGTCAATCCGAAAGAGCATGTAAAGGCTATAACAACGAGAAGTGGAGTGAAATTACATGAGAGACAAGTGAATAATCCCGTGGCAAACAGAGAAGAGATGTCTCCTGAAGTAGAAGAGATTTTGGAGCAAGAAGAACAGACAGAAGAGCCAACACCGAGAGCAAATAAAGGAAACTCAAGGGATAAAGAAACTGTAGCTGTGAACCCCTATGAGCCACCCATACCTTTCCCACAGAGGCTGAAGAAGCAAAAGATGGAATAGCAATACAAGAAGTTTCTCGAGGTCTTCAGGAAGCTCCATATCAACATCCTATTCACTGAAGCACTGGTTCAGATGCCTAGCTATGCAAAATTCCTGAAAGACATCCTATCAAACAAAGGAAGCTAGGAGACCATAAGACAGTAATGCTTACAGAGGAATGCAGTGCTAGAATCCAGAAAAAGCTCCCACCAAAACTGAAAGATCCAGGGAGTTTCACTATACCTTGCACAGTTGGTGATTTTTATTTTGATAAAGCATTATGTGATTTCGGTGCGAGTATTAACTTGATGTTACTCTCTATTTTCAGGAAACTAGGATTGGGAGAGCCTAAAGCAACCACAGTAACTCTACAGCTAGCTGATCGATCACTTACACATCTACGAGGAATTATTGAAGATGTATTGGTCAAAGTGGATAAACTCATATTCCCAGGGGATTTTCTTATTTTGGATATGGAAGAAGACAAGGATGTGCCTATCATATTGGGACGACCATTTTTAGCTACTGCAAGAGCCCTCATAGATGTGCAGCAAGGACAATTAACTCTGAGGCTGGAGGAGGAACAAGTCTCTTTTAATGTTTTCAAGGCAATGAAATAACCCAACGGGCCTGAAAGCTATTTCCAGATTGAAGTGCTTGACATAGGAATCCCCTATAATTTTGAGTTGAAGAAACAGTCAAACATTCATGAGGCATGTATAGTACACTCTCCATCCGTTCTTATCGATTCAAAGGAGATTAAGGCATTCGATGTGGGATTTCATACGGATGAAGAGAGAATGACAAATCACTTGGAGAAAGACAGGGATGAAATTCGGAGGATAACTGTAGTGCGGAACAAGACCATATTGAGCAAACTATGCAAGACCTCCCAAGCCATATTTAAAGTGCTATAAAATACCTGTGCCAAAAGTCGAGCTATCGACTATAAAATAGCGCTGGTTGGGAGGCAACCCAACGTTTCTATCCTTTTATTTACTTCATTTTGCAATAGTTTAGGAAATTTTCATTTTTCTTGCATTATCAATAATTTTAGGTCATCGATCATACATCCCTATCACAAAGCGTCTAGCCATGGTCCACACGAGTACCAATGCACCAAGCACGAGTCATGAGGTTGAAGTCCTATTTTAGTCAGTCATGTATTAAATTGAACAAAGTGCATGTTTTGAGCGAAATTCCGTTGGTAATTCACATTTTTGTGATATAAACCCTATGTTAAGACATAAATTATGTATTCTGCACACCAACAATGTGCACATTGAAGCAAGTTTGGGGGATTTGGGCACTACGTAGGTAATTTCTTGTCTCAGTTGCATCTGTTTGTAGCAGGTGGACTAATACGCATACTTTACACTTTTACAGGATGCCGTCAAAAAGAACGTCACAGCTCCAGCACCAAGAGACGGTACTGCTGGTCCCAATTTTCATTAACCACCTCCATCTTGATCAGGGGAGTACTCGTACTCCATCTTGCGGTTAAATTTATTATTGTCCTTCAATTATGTCTGTTTACACTTTTATTTCATCTTCATATTGAGGACAATGTATTATCTATGTTTGGGATGGGTGACATAATCTTGGACACAAACATAATTTCGTCATTTTGGCTATATTCATCAATAACTATGTTTAATTATTGCAATTCGTGTGCCTGTCAAGGATTTAAAAAAATTCTTTGCCTTTTATTTAGTTTGTTGTATTTCCATTTTTGCATGCTTGTGTGGCCATGATAGCTTTGTCGGCTATGATGTGACTATTGGACTGGTATAATTCATAAACTTTGGATATAGTGCTGAATAGATTAACCAATACTTGTGATGCAATACTTGACATTATCTATGCACGTTGTTCATGCTTGACATGTTAGGTGAATGACTGGATTTTGAGCATAAAGTAGGAAAAGAATGATAACCCTCTATTAAATTAACACGTAAACCACCTTAAGACAGTTTGGAATTTGTTGAGCTATTAAAGGGAACATTGAGATAAGCGGGGGCTCCGTGCATGAAATTTTATTGTGTGGATTGCCTAAACCAGTGAGGTGAAGATTAGGTGAAAATCTTAAATTAGGGGTTGATTTTGGAAACTAAATATCTAGAACAATAAGGGCATAAAATTAATTTGTGAGAATAAGACACTTCTTTTCATGCCTTTATGACTCGAGCAAGTAAGTCTGTAAGGATATTTCAAAATCTGGTGCCCTAAGGTCAACTGGCCTGGGAGTTACCGGCCTAAAGCTCGCTAAAGGAGTCATACAGAAAGCAAGAGTGAAAAAGGTTAATAAAAAGTCATCTGATCGAGCCTTTATAACTCAAGTGAATAAGCCTGCAAGAGTTTAAAACCTGGTACCCTAAAACCAACTGGTTTGGGAGTGATCGGCCTAAAGCTCGCTAAAGAGATTATATAGAAATCAAATGAGAAGATGATAATGATATTAAAAAAAAATTCAGAAAAATTAGAGAATAGCGAGAAAAACAAAAGAGATGCAATAACATGAAAAAAAGTCTTTGGACATTTAGTTGAAGAAACTATACCTTTAAGGCGAGACAAGTAACCTAGTTTAATCTTGAGTGTCGAAGCAATCAAACTTAGGAGAGTCTTCACTTGTTGACATGTAAACTTGTGATAGTAAGATCAATCCAAACTACAAGAGGGTAAGGACTACAGCTATGTAAATTCCTAATTTTAAAACACAATCCCGAGATAATTGAGTAAAAAGAATAAGTTTGGGGGATTGTGTATCTCTCGAGTGAGTAAGGATATATTTGACAACTTGGGGTCGGGACTCAAATTCAGCATGAACCTGATATGTTGGCATGAATTCACACACACACACACACACACGTCGATTTGCATTTAACAGGTAAAGGTTGATGTCATTTTTGCACTGATAAATTTTCATAAAGTCAAATACTTATTCCAATCCTGAGCCACAGCAGGGTATTAAGTCATGTTTGTTCAGAATTAAGTCACTATCTTGTTTGAGGACAAACAACAGTTCAAGTTTGGGGGGTTTGATAAGTGTGTTTTTGCACACTTATTTAGGTCACAAACATGACTTAATAATGAGAAAAATGATTGAATTGTGACTTAATCTCATTATATTTGTGAATTGTAGGGAACACCGATGAGCATGGTGAAATTCAGAAGAAAAAGTCGAAAAAACACTAAAATGGAGCAAAGTGATAATTCGGGGAACAAGTTGCAAATAATCCATAGATGAGAGGGGAAATGGAATGAAGATTCAAAAGTGTCAGAGGTCAATCGGATGAGGAAAGGAGTCAAGAGGTAAAATATGGTCGAAATATTATCAAGTATCAACTTTCAGGCGAAAAAGTTATGCTCGTGATTTTTAGTCTCTACTTGAGATCCATTTTTGGTATAGTAAACATCAGAATTTGAGGAAGCCTATTTCTATCAAAAGTATATATCTTTGAGTTTTCTTCCCAATGCACTTTGAATCACTTCAATCAGAGATCTAGTGAGAAAGTTATGACAAAAATATTGAAAGCTATCCGACGGAAAAATTTCTATAACCATGCGGCCGCATGGTTGTAATTCCTTGCGGTTGCACAAGGCAGTACAGGGAAAAGTCTGGGCTGAAACTTCTGAACCATGTGGTGGCATGGCGACCGCATGGTATAAAAATGTGACGAAATCTCAGGTTTCCTTATTCGACTCAAACACGATTTAGTAAGGTTTTGGGCGACTTTCTTGACCTAATTCCGCCTCCAATAAATACTAGACGACCCTGAAACATAAAGAGGGGGGGAGGGATATACACAATTTTAGAGGATTTGGAGAGGAAGAACAAGGCAAAAACAAGGCAATCCACTTCAAAATTCAAGATTTCACTTCAAGAATCAATTGGGTGATGTTCTTCCTTGGTTTTAATTATTGTTTTTCTTTATTTCCCATTATGCTAGGCTAGATTTTCAATTACTAGGTGATCGATGAACCCTTTTTTGTTATTTTAATTCCATATTTCATGAATTTAATATAAAGACTCGTTTGGATAATTTGATTGGTTTATATGCACTGATTTTCTTCCGTGATTAGTGGCCAATGATTGTGTGAGTGTTGATGACTTATTTCTTACATTCGAGAGAAGTGGAATAAGTTCGATAAGGTGTAAATTAACATAGGGTCCGATAGGGGATAGAGATATACTCCTATACTTTATGCAATTTTTTAGTTGTTCACAAAACCACATGCATTCTTGTATATTTGCATCATCCATAGAGATATAGGCTGGTGGTGTGCAAGAATAGGTCTAATATATATCGAGAGAATATATTGGATAGAATTAGGAACATTGAATTGGCAAATTTCCATCGGGTCATTAATTTTATGAAATTAAGGTTTTTATAACTTCAATTGGGGATTCGTAATTCTAGTGACTTTAGTTTGATTCATTTCCCTAAATTAACTTTTAAATTTGCATAATTTCATTTACTTGAGTGTTTGAGTCGTTTAATTAGAGAAATTTCGAAATTAAGGTTTCTAATTGTGAAATTAGGGTTTTTAGTTGAAATTAGGGCTTTTTGCATTTAGATCATATTATCACTCAAGTAGATTCGGTTAAGGTTAGATTATATAGAATTGAACTACTCAATCTCTGAGGGACGATATTCGGACTTTTAAAAATTCACTTTATTATTTGTTACGAACTGTACACTTGCGGTAGTTTTAAATCGAAAGAATTATTTCGTGAGCAAGTTTTTGAACTTAGCCTAGAATATTCATAATTACAGGAAAAAAAATTAATAAATAGAAAGAATAGCACCCGTATGAAAATTCTTGAAATTTTGAATAAAACCTTGAAAATCCGCTTGAATTCTTGTGAAATCGGCTTCAAGTTCGTGTTTCTTGCCTCCAAAAGTTATATTTTTCTTCTCCCTGGACGTTCTGCCCTATTTCTGATGAATTTTGGCTTTTATATCACGTCCTCGCGGAGCCCCGAAAGAGTTTCAATTAAAAACGGAAGTTCAGAATTTTCGTCAAATTTTCAAGCCATGCGGCCGCATGGTTCAAATTTTTTGCTCAACAAATGCATTACAGCACATCACCACCACCGGCCATCGAAAATCAATGTCCAAAAAACTAGTTACGTTTTGCATTGCCCTGTCCTGATTGATAATTATCCCAGTGGGAGCTTGGTCGTTCATGTACTATAGCCTTGTTCGAAAAAGCTACACAAATGTATCGGTATCCTCATTAGATATGAGCCCACGTACATTCGAGGAGTGTCGACTGCCCATGATGGTTCACTTCAACAAAAGGAGCGAATGACATATCATACTTGTTCGTTAGATATGTGGTATGAAATGTGATTACATCACCAAACTCTATACATGCCTGCCGACTCCTATTATCTACTAGAAAATATTCTTCAGACACGACTCTTTGCCAAAATCAATACTGAAATAAAACCCTGAGCATCGTGCTTGCATAGTAGATAATTATGACCGTATTGCCATGGTGTCATCTTCTCCAAGTCTTAACCTGCTAACTTGTTCAATGTAGTTTTACAGTCCTTCTCGTCACAGGTCATATTTTCATATCCACATGTTTCAACAACTGCAAAGTTGAAACTTTTGTACAATGGTATTTCCGCAATGTCATTTACTTCAAGCCGACGTTTCACCTGTGCACTTAATCTCTGTTGCATCAATATAGTTTAGACTTTGAAGGACTTGTTTTATGATTGTGATTGATGTGTACTCTGTTAATTCGCCATATTCCATTAATATTTGAACATGCAGCCAGTCTAGCTTTACATCCACTCTGCATCATAGCTTGTGGCTTCAGAGAAATGCTTGTGTTATTGATTTTTTCCCTTCACGGCTATAAACAAATGTAACATATCATAGAACTCCATCATCATTCTTTT